AGAGGGTTGGGCCCATGGGACAACCCGCCTTGGCCTAGGAACCCTTGCTCATTCTGGGCAGTCTGATGCCCAGCTGACCTGCAGGCACCGAGTGAGCACACACTGATAATGAGATGGTGAAAGTGACAATGGTGCTGAGAAATCACAAATCATTAAGCTGGGAGAGATTGACTTAAGGTCGCTGGAGAAGCGTACCTCTCAATTGCCCGATTTAAGAGGGGTAAACAATCAAAAGTCCAGACACAGAGGGATGAAAAATTACAACCCACGACTCATTATTACAAAAGAATTTGTCTCTTTGAAGGACTCAATGAGCTGCTCTTTTTGTTTGCACTCAACATGCAATTGATGTGCAACTTTGCAGAAGGCTCCTCCGGTGCAAAATCAGACATATTTCTGGAGTCTGATGGGATGAAATAGTTTCCACTGATCAGACCAGCTCCATGTCTGTGATGCAGGTTACATCTGAGCGACCAGAACACTGCTCTCACTCCCTCTCTGGAAAGAGGATGAAATGCTATATGACCCCATGGACAGAGATGCCCCAGCACCCTCTGTGTGACTTCCTCCCAGGGGAAATTCTGGATGTGCTCCCATCAGGCCAATGAGAGACACCAGTCCTTTTAAAGGAATACTTCAAAGTGCTTTTCATTTGCCTCAAGCACTGGTTTATTAGGCAAGAGTTTGTCAACCTGGAGTGAGCCCAGAGACTAATGAAAACGACTAGTGAATTGAGAAATAGGAGGTGTGAGGAAAGGGGAAAGGCATTATGTTAGGAGACCAACCTGTTTCTTCATTGTTGTTGTAGTGACCAGGGAATACACTTGAACCTTGGCACGAAAAATTCAATTCAGTATCAAAGGGCTTCTGTGGTCTAATTGTAAACAGGGATATCCTCTCTCCAGAGAAGTTGTGACATTTCTATTTTTTTTCTGGAATGATGTAGAGGTTGTGATTCTGCAATGAATGAAATTCTTTTTTATTTGTTTGTTTTATTTTCTTGGAGCATTTAATGTCTCTCTGAGATAGGCAACCTGTACTTTCTATTTTGATAAGGTTGTTTAGGCATCATGGTATTTTGTGGATTTTGAAATATGATTTTCCTATTTCTTTAAAAATTTCCCTTTGAAAGAACTGACATCCACTTAACCTCTCTGAAGTTGGACCTGCCATTGATCACATGCTTTCATACTTTTCACACATTTCCCTTGCCTTTTGGTTTATATGGTGTGTGTTTGCATGTGTGTGTGTAGTTCTGGCTCTGCCAGGAGAGAGGGATTTTTTTCTGGGGTAGGCACATGATTCAGTTGAATCCAACATGTACCTAATATGTACCTACCTTCCTGTAAATTATCTGTAGGGTCCAGAACCCAGCTATGCCACAGGTAATCTTACACTGTATTGCTGAATGACTGCTGGATTTCTGAGTGACATTGGGTATACATGAACAAATAATGAAGTTTGGAAGACAGTTTTTGATACAAGCATAACACAGGCTAAAGACAATCGCATTCTACTCACCACTCCCTCATTGCCAAAGAATAAATAACAAGTCAGAGTAGGGAAAATAAGGCTTCAGAGACCAGAAAGGGCTCTCAGAAAGAGAAAAGACAAAATAAAGCTTGGATCGAGTCCAGAGCTGGAGGAGGAGAGAGCAGTAACTGTGCCAGCTGGGGCAAAAGCATCATCCCTCTTCCGCCCAGTGTGGGCTGGAATTCTCAAGCTCAAGGGCAGCATGCCTTGGTGTTTGCCCTCAGTGTGTGAATATGGGGCATCAACTGATGTCATCATCCAGCAGATGCCCCATTTAGTGAGCATCCCACTCCTGTGCCTACTCTTTTCTTTCTGGGGGAATGGCATCTCCACCAGAGGGCATGCAAAGCAAGAAAAGGCTGGAGTGCTAGGGGAAGGCCAGGTCAGTCCTTTCTTGTTCGTACCTACACCTCTCCCCAGGGCCAGAAGGTGAACTGATGGAGCCAGAGTCTGGGTGAGACCACACCTCCCTCCCACGGGGGAAGAGCACAGATTCTGAAAGGAGGCAGGTCGATCCTTGGATCCTGGCTCTTACTCGTCACTTATCATTATAACTGGGATAAAGTTCAGCAAGGTGAGTGGATACAGAAATCAACAATTCTCATGCACCACCTTTTAGTGACTATAAAATATGACAGGAAAGAAAGGGTTCTAATTCACAATGCAAAAACTCTTCAGATACCTAGGGATACCTAATACTAGCAATAACAACAACACAACATGCACAAGAATAGCCAGCAAATACTGAACAACAAACAATGAGTAGGAATTGCTGTGTGAGAAACCAACATGGAATAGAAAGCTCTAGTAACTACGATGATGTGATTGCACAGAAGCCAACGGGACAGAAGAGAAAGTCAGTATGGAACAAAAGTGGTATTTCAATGGGGAAGATGAGGCTGTTTACCTTTATGTAGAGAAAAGTACAAAAAAGAGCAACATCGAACAGACTGTCACACTACAGCGGGAAGGCTGGGGAGGGTTGGGGGGAGGGGTAGTAAGGAGATCAACCGAAGGACTTGTATGCATGCATATAAGCATAACCAATGGACACAAGACACTGGGGGGGTAGGGGAGGCCAGGGGAAGGTCAAGGGGAGAAAAAAAAGGAGACATATGTAATACTCTTTGTAATACTTTAAGCAATAAAACAAAATTTAAAAAAACAAACAACAAAAAAACTTTTCCAGCTTTAAAAAAATGAAATAAAAAATAAAAACTTAAAAAACAAAAAACAAAACAAAAAAACAACAATTACCCAAGTTCCCACTCCTCAGAATCAGTCACTATTAACATTTTGACTTATTTGCTTTCACCCTTATTTCCAAGTTAACAACTTTTAATAGATCACATACATAATAAATAAACACAATGTCCTTTAAAAAGTCCATGGCTCAAGTTCCAGCTAAGATGGCCAACCAGCTGGTCATGCTGTCTCCCCCCCCCCCCCGACCCCCCACCCCCTGGGTCAATCCTGAGAAACTGTAGAACACATGGAAGACATGGATGGGCCTGGGGTAGAAGAGAGGGGATGGTTAGAGGAAAGGGTCTTAAGTTTGGTCCTTGCCTATTGTCTGCCCCTTTAAAGTAGAGATCCAGCGCAGCAGTGCCCTGTCTGTAGTCCAGTCCAAGGGCAGATCTACTTCATAAGTAGAGTTGCCAGCTTTAGCAAATAAAAATACAAGATGCCCAGTTCAATTCGAATTTCAACTAAACAACAAATAATGGCTTAGTATAAGCATGTTCCATGCAATATTTGGGATATACTTATGCAAATTTATTTTAATTGTTTATGTGAAATTCAAATTTAAGTAGGCATTCTCTATTTAGTCTGGGTGGCCCTATTCATAGGTGATTGAGATAGGTGACTGCTCTGAGTATCAAGCTTGCTGGCAGGGAATTGGGTTTGCAGAACTGGGTACTCAGCTGGCCTCACTCTAGGGTGGTGAGGGAGGCCTGTAACCTACTCTCATGGAACTTCTCATGTGGAGAGAGATAACCCGAGTCTGAGACTGTATCATCGGGAAGTTTCCCTATTAGCTTCTAGGATTTATACAGCATGACAGTTCCTAAGCTCTGCTTTCACCATGCTCTTGACATCAATCTCAAACCCTGTGTCTATATAATAGAAGGGTAGGGAAGTCATTAATTATCAAAAGTCTCCTTGAGCCCCAAATTTCTGCTTTGTGACCAGCTCAGCAGCAAGACTCTTGCCAACCTGCAGGCAATCATGGAACAAGGCTAGACTGTAACTTGACTCATGACCTGAGGCACAGGGATTCTGCCATGGTCTCAGATTAACAAAATATTATTATAACTGAGTTCATTATTGTTGTTATTGGAAGTTTTCCTTGTTTTTTAATTTTTTTTTGCCTATAGATAAGATTGAGTATAAAATACCTGATTAGCCAAATTCTAAAATAAGCTTGTACAAACATGACCTGAAAGATAGAGAATCTATTTCTGTCTAAAAGTCAAAATATAATCCTGACACTGATTTCTGAGAAGATTTTAAGGAACCTCCAAAATCTATTTTTGCTTATCAAAATTTGCATCCATCTTTATACTGAAAATGGTTTTTGGATATCTGATCACAAAAGGAGATTGTTCCCATCAGAACCACCTCCTGCCTGTGCACATGGACCATCTTTCAATCTCATCTTTTTGCCAATAGCTTTTCAGAACAAAACTCCTAACCAACACTTTTTCGAGGTTTTATTAATATATTTTATTGAGTTATTTTATTTCAAAGTTATGGAGATGTAATTAACAGACTATCAAATTTACAGGTCCATAAATTTTAACCAGCATTTGTCAAGAGAACTTCTTCAGTGAATCCAACTATCTTTGGATGCAAAGGAAATCTCTCCCAACTCATTTAGCACTATGTGGTTTTATTAATCCATCCACCATGATCTGGGGATATTTTTTTCTGTACCAACTGGTTTGATACATCTCAAGATGGTACATACTAGTAAAAACAATAACTTTGTGGCAAAAGTCTTTATTATCATAGAGAGGAATCAAGCATTTCGCCTTTCTACCAACTGGCCTCTGTTTTGCTGGGTCAGTACAGTGTTTCCTTGTTTGTGAGTGGGAGTAGTGAGGGGTATCTCCGAGAGTCTCAGATATCTGGGTGGGGACCAAGCCACCAAATGATAGAGCTTGAAAAACAAAACCCCTCAGTTATGAGGTTATACTGATTTAGGTTCCAGGACCCTGGCTTCCTTTTCTCTAAAACACTTCATTCTGAAAAAGAGACTTGAGTAGCAGAGACTGAATAGTTGTTGGTAGTCATCAACTCACAGGACAGCTGAGATTCACACAGTGCTGACTGACCGAGTTGGGCATGAAGCAAGGTAAATTGTCAGTGTGGCTGAGAAATGGTTCTCTGAATATGAGGATCATTGTGTGGTATGAGAAAGTTTCAGAACCAATACATGAACAGAGATACAGTCTAACACAAAATCTTTGTATTAGAAATATGCTTTATTGAACACAACAAAAGAAAGCAAAGAGCAGAGAAAAATATTGCAGGGATATAACTCTGTACATGAGAGTGTTGTGTCAATACCATCTATGGACACTGATGGGAAGATAACTTATTTGTCCTAAGGGCAACTCCTGTGTGGAGTTATAATGAGCAGGGAAGTCAGACATCAAAGGTAAGATTCCCCAGTCTGTAGATGATGTAGATCAAGTTTCAATTTTCATGGGGCATACGTCATTTTCTTACCAGAATTATGGCAGACTGATATATCTGATAATAATATGGGAACATCAAAAAGATGTCTACATGTCTGCGTGACATTGATTGTTGACCTTCTTAGGGTGAGTAATGAAAGCTCAGATCTAACAGGAATTGATAGAGGAAATGAGGACTAGGCAATTCCAGCTTAACCCAGGGGCCAAGAGAAATCTGAGACAGGAGACAAGAAGCAACCTGAAGAGAGGACCATGCAGCTGCAAAGACAATGTGGGACCAAGAGCCAATGGGAGGACTTCAGTGCTTGTAGCCCTTCCTTGTGGTGGATGAGGTGGTGCTGTATTTGATGGTGGAACTGCTGCCCCCAGCAGAGCTGAGGCCACCTCCGAAGCCTCTGCCACTGCCAGAACTGAAGCCACCTCCAAGGCTGTGACCACTGCCATAGGAGTAGCCGCTGCCTCCTCCCAGGCCAAAGCCACTGCCAACACCACCAGCACTGCCATAACCACTGGAGATGGTGGACTGCACCACAGCTGTGGAAGGGAGAGAAACAAGGACACACAGACATGGTGAGCTCATTATGTCAGCCTGAGTCAAGTCAGAAGAACACAAGGGTAAGGGAGGGAGGCAAGCAAAGATACTTACAGATGTTGACTGGTCCAACACCTTCCCCACTCAGCCTAGGAAGGAAGAAACACAGAGACCATGAGATCTCAGAGAACCACTCCTGGACCAGTGTGGGAAGCCTCCATGTGAGGACCATCCACGGGGAAACTGACTTTTCCATGGTTCTCTGAGAGTAGTAATTATGGCCATCACTAGGGTGCTTTAAGTTTGTGCTCACTGACTGCACATCATGGAGAAGCACCCAGATGATAGAGGAGGTTATGAGTTGCCCACCTGCACTCCTCGCCTTCCAGCAGCTTCCTGTAGGTGGCAATCTCCACATCCAGGGCCAGCTTGACATTCATCAGCTCCTGGTACTCCTTCAGGAGCCGGGCCATGTCCTGCTTGGCTTTCTGCAGGGCATCTTCCAGCTCAACCAGCTTACTCTTGGCATCCTTGAGGGCCAGCTCTCCACGCTGCTCAGCATCAGCAATGGCGGCCTGCAGGTTGGCGCACTAGAAGGGGAGATAAGCAGAATGAATTTGCAATCTAGTCCTCCTGAGACTAGCTGTGGTTCCTATTTCCCAGTGAGGAAGAGAGCCAGAGCCCTGATAGCATGGAAATGCAGCTCAGACCCTTTCTATCCAGTCTTTTTCCATTCTGCAAACCTAATCTAATTTATGAGTCATCTGAAAAAAACCTGTGTCCCTTTGTACTAACCACCCTGCATGAGGTTGTGGGGGCTGACTGGTAGAAGGTACTATAGCAGATATAGATCAGGGGCCAAAGGAAGAAATGTACCCACTAACTTGTTTTAAATTTTGACAGCTTTTGATAATCTCATGTAGCAGCCACACTAACTTGTACAAAATCACAAACATTCTCATGGAGGTGATGGGTTTCTTATACCTCACAATTTTAGGTGACACTGGTCTTTGTTCAGTGTCCTTGCTTGACTATCATTTTTTTGACCTTGAATCTTGGGCAGATTTGCACCAATCTTCCTCACTTCCTGGCCTGCCTTTTCTTTCCCAGTTTCCTTCATTCCTAAATCAACTGTTCCCATGGCATCTCCTTTCAATGCTTCTAGACTATATTTTACAGCTCTGACAGGGGAAACTGGTTTTGTCCACCTGTTTATATCATGCTCTTGGGTTGGGATCTATCCACCTACCTGTGGGAACTCACTCAGGGTAGACACTGCATAGTGTCCTCTCCCTATTGTCTCCCAAATTCCCAGGAATAAAAAATGATGGTTGGTGACCACGTGGTGGTCTAGCAAGGAAAGGATGCTTTTATTTTCCTTAGTCCCCACCATACCTGTTTCTTGACATGGTCAATCTCAGATCTCAGCCTCTGGATCATGCGGTTGATCTCAGCAATCTCCTGCTTGGTGTTGCGCAGGTCATCTCCGTGTCTGCCAGCTGTGACCTGAAGCTCCTCATACTGTAGCAAAGAGGGAGAGAAGCTGATGTATATGGCCTTTCACATGTTAACACTGACTGTCACACTGTGTCAGGCTTTTAATAAATTCAACCCAATGGCTTTTCAAAAAAGATTTTAGGAAATGCTGATGTTACTAGGTCATTGGATCCTCTACACTAATCTCAGACCAACCTTGTCATGAAACCACTGCCTTTCTAGTTCTCTTCAGAACCAGCAATGTCCTGCACTGGTTTTCAGAGAGGCGGCGTCAGTGTGAAGCTAAAGCAATGATCACTAGGTTCTTATCTACATTAGCTTTTCTCCTGAATGGGTTTCTTTGACTTACAGAATTGCACATAAATTCTGTCGTTATCTACTCTATCGTTGCAGGGTACACATTCTGTGAGAGGACACCAGCTTCCTTAGAAGTACATTTTCCCTGTGAAGTCTGGTAGTCTTGCTAGTGTTTAGGGAATGAACACAAGAATTTCTCATCAGTTGCCCACTCACTGCTCACCTTGCTCTGGTACCAGGACTCAGCCTCAGTCCGGCTCCTCTGAGCAATCTCCTCATATTGGGCCTTGACTTCAGCAATGATGCTGTCCAGGTCCAGGTCACGGTTGTTGTCCATGGAAAGGACCACAGAAGTGTCTGAGATGTGCGTCTGCATCTGAGCCAGTTCCTGCAGAACATAAGATGGTCAGATCATGTTCTCCTGTAAAGTTTACAGGCTTCCCAACCCCAAGATCTTCCACCCTTTTGCAGAACCCCATTAGAGTAATTCAAATGAAGGGGGAGATGCTTACGGCTTCATAGAAGGCTCTGGTGAAGTTGATCTCATCCATGAGAGCATCTACCTTGGCTTGTAGTTCAACCTTATTCATGTAGGCAGCATCCACATCCTGGGGAATAAGCCAACACCATGGGGTTAGCTGAGCCCTCCTTCCCCATCTGTCCACCTTTTAGCCTCCCCACTTTTGTCCTCTCAGATGTGGGGAGGACGCCAGAGTTTTCTTCCTTTGCAAAGAAACATGAACCTTTTGTTGTAATCAGCTCACCTTCTTCAGAGTCACAAATTCATTCTCCGCAGCAGTGCGCTTGTTGATTTCATCTTCATATCTAGAATGAGAAAGGCATACGTCAGTGGTGACAATGATACAGAAAAGGCAGCCTGGGGTCAGAACTTTCCATAATGGATATATCCAAGGTCAGCTTTCTTGACAGTAAGCCTCAATGATGATTTTTGTGGTTCCTAAATGTTTCCTTTTTTACTCTCCCTATGCACCTATCCGGCCTTTTGCTTCATTTCTCTCAGGTTTGTTCTTAAGCAACATTTGTGATTTTCATCTTTGTGGACATGGTTTGCTACAAAATCATGACCACATCTCAACCTGGTCTTGAAGTGTGCAGTTCTGGAAATTACCCCATATCTCTCCTTAACTCACTTGTTCTTGAAGTCCTCCACCATGTCCTGCATGCCTCTGAGCTCTGAGTCCAGGCGGCCTCTCTCCCCAAGGATACTGTCCAGCTGTCTCCTGAGGTTGTTAATGTACTGCTCAAACAAAGGCTCCAGGTTCTGCCTCACGGTCTTGGTGCCCTGCTCCTGCAGCAGGGTCCACTTGGTGTCCAAAACCTTGTTCTGCTGCTCCAGGAAGCGCACCTGGAGAAACACAGTGGTATTTGTCAGACAAAGGAAGGAAGAAAGTAGTATGAGTTGTCAGGTTCCCAAGCAGGCCTGTGTGGTAACAGCATTGGACTATTAGACATTGTATAGAGGCTCAAGCTGACAGTTCTGTTCCCTCAAACTGTTCACACCCCACTGATCTCCTCCATGAAGTTCCCCCATGGACACAGAGGTGCTCTCACCCTCTAAGTAATGGAGCCTACCAGAGACTTTCAACATTTCTCTTGTCAAGTGCAATCACACTAGTTTAAAGCAGTATTTCCCTGATATAAAGCACAACGTTTTTATTTAGTTATGACATAGCTAAATGTTTAGAATCCAATAATTAAAATTTAAATCTAATTAATAAATGGATTCCATTCTAACTGCCCATTCAGTGTATGAGTGTCCTATAAAACATCCTTGTTGAATTGTCCTTCTCTGTTTCTAAAATCAATTAGTGTTTCTATGAGACATCTAAATGTTTCTGTCTTTTTTTCTAATCCAGCTAGAATATCCTTTTCTTTTCTTTTTCCCCCACTACCCAAGCTCTAAAGCAGTTTTCACTGGAATTTTATTTCTAATGTCTTAGATTTTCTTCACAAGGTAAAGTTAATTCATTCCATTTTCTCACTGATTTTTCTTTGCTTCAGGGTTATCAAAAGTTGAGAATTCTTTCTAGACTGGAATGAGGGACATTTAGATATTCAACAGTTCTAAATGATTTCCACCAGCTTCTGCCTATCAGATCCCAGTGGGAAGCCAGGCTGAGTCCCTTTTTCCCTTCACCCTATTCTCCCCCCGAGAGAACATGTGTTGGTCCTCTACTTTGGGGACTGTGAGTCCCCACTGGAAGACAGGTCCTCCTGGCTCACCTTGTCAATGAAGGAGGCGAACTTGTTGTTGAGGGTCTTGATCTGCTCCCGCTCCTCAGTCCTCACCCGCTGGATGGTGGGGTCGATTTGCAGGTTCAGAGGAGTGAGGAGATTCTGGTTGATCGTGACCTCTTGGATGCCTCCAGGGGGGCACACAGGGAAGCCAGCGCCCCCATAGCCACCACCAAAGCCAGCTCCACCACCGAGCCCAAAGCCACCACCAGATCCACCGCCAAAACCAAATCCACTCCCGGCTCCACCTCCAAAGCCAAAGCCACCTCCAACTCTGCCACCATATCCTCCACTGATGGCACAGCTGCCACCTCCGATGGAAATCCTCTTGGAGCCCCCCAGGCCATAGAGGCTCCTGCTGCCAAAGCCAGCTCCTCCACACACTCCACCGAGGCCTCCACTGCCCCTGGAGCGGCACACGGAGACACTGCTGAAGCCAGAGCGGCTGACCCCAGGGACTCTGGCTGAGCTGGCACTGAAGCCACGGTGGCTGCTGCTTTGGGTCCTGATGGTGGATTTGCTCGACATGGTTCCTGAAGATGAGAAGGCTGAAGAAGGCGTGAGAGGCTGGAGGGTAGAGCTGAGAGCAGCAGGTGTGTGATGAGGTTGCAGGCAGCAGTTTATATATAGTGGAAATGGGCTGGGCTCAGTCCTGGAAGGTGAGCTTGCAGATTGGGGAGGGTTGGGCTTTACAAGCAGTGAGATCACAGCTGGATTATTAGAAAAGTTATGAAATATGAAGATTGCATTTTGGCTTCCTATAGTCAGGGGAAATTTTCTTGCCTTCTAGCTTTGACTTGATCTGAGTACAATAAGACTATTCTCAATTCACTGAGCTAGGAGTTAGTCACTGAATCAAACAAAGGCTCTGCATTTTATGCTTATGTATCAGAGTGCTCTCCTCTGCAAACTGCTATTTCACTCAGCAGAGATACTGCAGCTCAATACAGGCTGTTGAATATGCCTAATAGAAAGAGTCCTGTTCCTTTTTGTTGATTACAAAGTTAAAAATGCCTTTCCTTCAATGTAAAATTCCACACAGGTAGATAAGTAGAATAACACCAGGATGGGCCCTTCTGTACTTATTACCCAGCTTTATAAGATGGATCATATCATGGCCAGGCTTATTTCTTCTATACTCCCACATCCTCTTTTCCAAATTGTGTTGGACTTACTTTTTCTCCCACCTTTTGATTCTCTTTTAAAACTTTAAGATTGTTTTTTTTCGTAACTGCTGGCTTTTCTTCGCTTCACCTGTTTGTCTCTTATTGTGCATTCAGCAATGTCTTTTTCTCTTTGTGCTACTTTCAGTTTGGCCTTCATTTCTATTGTGGCTTTTTTAAAAAACAAACAAACAAAACTTTTTAAAATTCATTTCAGAGAGGAAGGGAAAGGGAGAGAGAGAGAGAGAGAGAGAGAGAGAGAGAGAGAGAGAGAGAGAAACATCAATGATGAGAATCATTGATCAGCTGCCTCCTGCACACCCACACTGGGGATCAAGCCCACAACCCAGGCATGTACCCTGACTGGGAATTTACCCATGACCTCCTGGTTCATAGGTTGATGGTCAACCACTGAGCCATGCCAGCTGGGTGACTGTAGTTTTGTTTTGTTTTGTTTTTCCTCTGCTTCTTTTCTGAGCTCCACAAGCGAATGTTTTAATCTTTTATTGTCTCACTAGAGTCCCAGTGCACGAATTCGTGAACCTTGAAAGGAACTTTGGGCCGTGAGGCTGTGGTGGGCACAGGGGCAGGTCTCGGCCCATTCTCTGTGACTCTGCCTGGCCCCTCCTGCTGCGGACCCCGGTCCCCTGTCTGCTGCCGCCCCACTCTCATTCACTGACGGTGCCATTACCACTCGTACCCATTGACAGCACAGAGTGATTGGGGCTGGTGCCAGCAGCAGGTGCGAGTGGGGCCAGCACCATCAGTAGGTGCAAGCAGCGGCTGCTGCCCAGATTGCCTCTCAGGAGCAGGGGGCGGTGGAGAAGCCCTCAGGAATGATAAGGGCTGGCAACTGCTGCTCTCACCTGCTGACGGTGCAGAGTGATCGGGACTGGTGCCGGGTGCCAGCAGCAGGTGTGAGCAGCAGCCCTGGCGCCGGCTGCAGGTGCAAGTGGGGCTGGCGCTGGCTGTGGGTGTGAGTAGTGGCTCCAGCACCAGCAGCTGGTGTGAGAGGAGGCTGCAGGCCCTGATCATCCCTCAGGAGCAGGGGGAGGTGGAGAAGCCCTAAGGGGTGATTGGTGCCAGCAGCAACCCCTCCCATCCGTTGACAGCACCGAGCAATTGGGGCTGGCACCGGGCGCTGCAGCCAGTTCAAGTGGCGGCTCTGGCACCGGCAGCAGGTGCAAGTGCCAGGCGGGACCACAGCATGCAGGAGCAAAGAATTTTCAGTAACCACCAGAGGCTCACCCCAATGACAGCAACCAGCGTCCTGCCTTGGTCTGGCGCCCCCGCTCACCTGCTCCACCATCCCACCACGGCCAATACCCGCCATGTTCTGCACTCTTCCACTTGCTGCAAATGCCCACTTTGTTCTGCGCATGCCCCCTGGTGGTCAGCGCATGTCATAGTGACTGGTTGCTCAGTTGTTCTGTGGTTTGGTCTATTTGCATATTAAGGTTTTTATATATAGATTATGTTGCCCCTTTGTTCTCTGATTTTATCATGATGTTTATTTCATTGAATTTCAAAGTCAACATAATGTTATTTTATTGTGACTTTTCTGTTGAGTGTTTTTTGTTTTTTCTATTCCCTGAGTTTTTAAAAAAGTAAAGTATCTTCTGGTGCTTTTGGAATGGTTTCTTTCTGACTAGTGCTCATCTCTGAATGAGGTAAGCTACTTCTGGACCTGCATTTGCAGAAGGAGTCTGGGAGGAGGGGCCAAGGCCATATCCAGGCTGGCAGGAATTCCCATTATGACACAGGGCTGGGGTAAATAATTATTTTAATATTTAATTCAGCAAACCAACAAAGATCGCTACAGAGTGGCTCACAATTCACAGTCTTTCTTTGCTTCACCAACACAATGCTGCCAGTAGGCCTTGACTGATTCCTTGTTCAATGCTGCCTTCAGAGTTTCTTGAGACTTATGATATATGGGGACCTGCCTCCAGACCACACACCCAGTTCTGACTGCTGCAACATGAGCTTCTTGGACTTGCACCTGAGGAAGTGTCCTTTCCATCGGCTTAGTAGGAGTTTCATGAGTCAGTGGTGCCTGGCAAGTAGGAAAACCTCAGCATTTGCTTTGTCTGGCATTCCTTTGTGGTTTTCCTGTTGCTTGGTTTGGATTTGTTTGTTTGTGAGAGTGTTTCCACTGGCTTTTCTCAGATCTTCAGCTGCGGGCAGCTACTCTCTCTGTTTTCCTAACAACTGTGTGTCGATTCTTTATCTTTGTGATATAGATATATTTTTAATTTAGGGATTTTAAGATTTTTTGTGTGATTGAGGGTGGAGTTAACCTTTATATTTCTTGTTCTTCTTATTGTTTTTAGGTAATTCCTGAGAAGTGGGAAATGCCTCCCTTTCCTCTACTAGGTTATATTTAGAAGTCTCCCATTCATATATTTATATTTAACATGTCATATTAACTAAAATGTTCATTTAATAACTTTAAGTTAGAAATATTAATGTTCCTTTTTCATAATTCATGGAAATAATTTTATTCAATGTAGATATCATTGACCTCAGGGCTTCTTTCTTTTCTAGAACCATGTTGTGGGTCATCTGAAATGTTCCTACCAGACATCATATTTCCCATCACTAGAAATTTAATTCCAAACATATCTGTGCTCTTCTCAGTATAACAGATTACTTTATGACTGAAATAAAATTTGTATTATTGAAAATTTCAAACAGATACAATTAAAGAGAATAGTATTCAACCAACATATACCAATTACCCAGATTAAATGATTATCAATATTTTATCATTATTGTTTAATCTAATTCCCCTACTTTTTATATCTGTATTTTCCATTTATTTTGATGAAGCATCTTATAGAAAATCCAGGTATCAGGTCATTTCACTTATAAATATGCCCATGCATGTATAAGTAATAGTTACTTTTTCATCTAAATCTGAATGTAAATAGGTATTAGATTTCATTAAGAAAGGACTTGATTATGATATAATAACTGTTATGCAGTTAGATTAAAAAATGTAGTCAGTGACAAGTATGCCCTAAGTTCAATCAGTCTGTAGTCTCTCAGTGAGGTGTACTGACTATGATTAGGGGGACCACAAATAGACAGATTAAGCACCATTCCCACCTCATCAGATCAAGGGCACACACTGTCAGCATGACATCGCTGTTGATATTAACCTTGCTTACTTGGTTGAGGAAATGTTCATTAGATTTCTCTACTGTAAAGTTACTCTTTTACCCCTTATTCCTTCAGAAGGAAGTCAGTGTGCACAGCCCACACTTAGAGGGGAAAAGTTATTCTCTACCTTTCTGAGGTGGGAACACCTATATAAATGATTTGGAGTTCCTCTGCATGAGAGTGTCTATCATCCCTTATTAATTATTATCCAATCATTTATTTACATAAGTATGAACCATGAATATTTATTTTATACTTTGGATTATAACCAAATACTGTATTATATGTTTTTAATTAATTAACTTCTGGCTCAGATAGTTCCAATTTGGCTTTTAGGAGCTCTTTCGGTGGGTTTTTTGATTGCTTCCTTACTTTATGGCACTGAAAGATGCTCTTGTGTAATCATATATTTCCCACCTCATTCCTAGAAACAATAGTTTCTCCTTCATTCCTAATAAATGAGCCTTTATTTCCAATGATATTATCCAGGATTGTCCAGAGAAACACACCAATAGAAGATATAATCTTATATACTAGAGGCCCAGTGCGCAAAATTTATGCAATGGTAGGGTCCCTAGCCTAGCTTGCAATCAGGGCTGGTCTTCCCGAGCTGCCGGCATTTGACCACCCCACACATCCCTCCCCCACCACTGCTGCCACTCATCCTCTGTGTGGGGGGCGACAGGCAGGGCGATCGGGCCCCGCTCACTCACACCTGCCTTGGCTTGGCGCCACATGAGTCCGCTGCCACCCACCCCCAGCTCCCCATTCCCCATTGGGCGACTGGGGCCTGTGGGTTGAGGGCAGCTCCTGTGTTGACTGTCTTCCCCCTAGTGGTCAGTGCAGGTCATAGCAGCCGGTCGTTCTGCCATCCAGTTGATTTGTATACTACACTTTTATATATATAGACATGTATGCATACATATTATAAGAAATTGGCTCATGTGGTTTTGGGAGGTTGGCAAGTCTAATATCTGCAGAACTGATGTCCCAGTCCAAGTCCTGAGGCAGACAGGTTGTTGCCGAACTAGAAAGCACCAGTGTACTAGTAGGAAAATAATTTGATAAGAAAATTCTCCCTTATTTAGTGCAGGGTCAGCTTTTTGTTCTATTTCGACCTTCAACTGATTGGGTGAGGCCCACTTACATTATGGTGGGCAATATACTTTACTCAGACTATTAATTTAGATGTTAATTTTA